CCATGTCCCCATTGAGACCCCGTAGAGACCTTACAGAGACCCACAGAGACACCATGCCCCATAGAGACCCATAGAGACCCATAGAGACCCCATGTCCCCATAGAGACCCATAGAAATCCATAGAGATCTTGTAGAGACCCATAGAGACCCACGTCCCCATAGAGACCCGTAGAAACCCCATAGAGACCCATAGAAACCCCATAGGGACCCATAGAAACCCCATAGGGACCCATAGAAATCCATAGAGACCTTGTAGCGACCCATAGAGGTCCACGTCCCCATAGAGACCCCATAGAGACCCGTAGAAACCCCATAGATGTCCATAGAAACCCCATAGGGACCCATAGAGACCCAGTGTCCCCATTGAGACCCCGTAGAGACCTTACAGAGACCCACAGAGACACCATGCCCCATAGAGACCTTACAGAGACCCACAGAGACACCATGCCCCATAGGGACCCATAGAGACCACATAGAGACCCAGTGTCCCCATAGAAACGCACAGAGACCCCATAGAGACCCAATGTTCCCATAGTGACCCCATAGAGACCTGCAGAGACCCCATAGAGACCCACTGGGGGCTGTAAGGACCGATAGAGGATCCATAGAGAACCATAGGGACCCCAATAGGGACCCACGTAGAGACCTATATGGACCCATAGAGACCCATAATGGGACCCATAGGAACCCGTTGGGACTCACAGAGGACCCATAGATGTCCATAGAGAAACCCATAGGGCAAAGACCCCATAAAGACCCCATAGAGACCCCATAGTGACCCATAGAGACCCACAGAGACCCACTGAGACCCACAGAGACCCCATAGGGCCCCACTGGGACTTACAGGGGACCCATAGATGTCCATAGAAAAGCCTATAGGGCAGAGACCCCATAGAGACCCCATAAAGACCCCACAAAGACCCCATAAAGACCCCATAGTGACCCATAGAGACCCACAGAGACCCATTGAGACCCACATTCAGACCCATAGAGACCCCATAGGGCCCCACTGGGACTCATAGGAGACCCATAGATGTCCTTAGAGAAACCCATATGGCAGAGACCCCATAGAGACCCCATAAGTACCCCATAGGGACCATTAGAAACCTATTGAGACCCACAGAGACCCATTGAGACCCATAGAAACCCCATAGGGACCCATTGGGGCTCATAGGGGTCCCATAGATGTCCATAGAGAAACCCATATGGCAGAGACCCCATAAAGACCCCATAGTGACCCTATAGTGACCACTAGAGACCCACAAAGACCCACTGAGACCCACAGACCCATAAAGGACCATATAGACCCCATAGAGACCCATATGTCCCCACCGGCCCAGTTTTGGGGTCTCACCCCCCATTTTGGGACCCCTCCTCATTTTGGGGTCCCACCCCCCCAATCCTACAGGCGCTGGTTCTCCATTCAGAGCAACCAACTGGTGTACCTCAAACGGGCCCAGGTATGGGGTGGGGGGCAATTATTTGGGGTGGGGACCCCAAAATTTGGGATCCGGATATGGAGGAGGGGTTCAATTTGGGGTCTGGATACGGGGGCTGCATTTTGGGGGCTGATGTTGGGGTTTTTTTTTGGGGGGGTGAGGGAATATTTTGAGGCAGACTGAGGCAGTTTCGTTTTGGGGTCATGGTTTTGGGGTCGCGGTTTTGGGGTTGCAGTTTTGGGGCCATTTTTGGGGCTATTTGGAACAGTTTTGGGGCCATTTGAGGGCTTTTGGGGGCACAGTTTTGAGGTCTCAGTTTTGGGGCCATTTGGGATGATTTTGGGTTCAGTTTTGGGGCAGTTTTGGGCTATTTGGGAACCGTTTGGGTTTTGAGGTTTTGGGGTGGTTTGGAGTCACAGTTTTGGGGCCATTTGGGCCTATTTGGGGTCACTGTTTCGGGGTCATTTTTAGGGTTGTTCGGGGCAATTTTGGGGCCATTTCGAGACCATTTGGGGGTTCAGGTTTTGGGGTCCCAGTCACAGCTTTGGGGCCATTTTGAGACTATTTAGGGTTCAGTTTTGGGATCATTTCTGAGGCGATTTGGGGTGCCATTTTGGGATCCCAGTTTTGGGGTAAAAGGAGGCAGTTTGGGTCAGAGTTTTGGGATCCCAATTTTGGGGCTGTTTGGGGCCATTTGGGGTTTTCCTTTTGGGGCCTTTTGGGGCTGTTTGGGGCCATTTGGGATCCCATTTTTTGGGCTGTTTGGAGCCATTTGGGGTTTTCCTTTTGGGGCTATTTGGGGCTGTTTGGGGCCATTTGGGATCCCATTTTTGGGGCAGATGGAAGCAGTTTGGGTCGGGGTTTCAGGATCCCAGTTTTGGGGCTGTTTGAGGTGATTTTGGGGTCCC